GTTAACAATTGAAACCACCTTGCTTAACTTTTTAATTTTCAAACGTTAACCTTACAATCCTGAATTCCAAGAAGATGATAAAATATCTGGACCATTAAAATACATTTATCATGATAACATTGTGATTACCTCATCAGTCTTTCATTGAAATAATCCAATTTCCTATGTATAGATATGTAACAAAACTAGTCAATTGATGTCATTCAAATCTGTAACAAAAGCTAGCTTCATATTTTAGTGGCAAATGTTAATGACTTGAATCTATCCATAGATGTGCAGAAAATGAAGTTTCTCTATAAGCAACATTGAAAATAACGCATTGAAAATATCATACAGCAATTAATCCTTTTTACTCCAGCATTAGTGCTGACCTTCTCTGTTCTCCTCTCTATAAACTTCCCTTGGTTTTGAAAAGGAGAATTCACTAAAAAATTAAAGCTTCTTAGGTTGGGGATCATTTCCTTTATTCTCATGATATAAATGAATTATTCAATGGTATTACTCTAGGGAGAAATTTAAGAATGGTCATTCTTACAAGTTAGAGGGTCAGTGGTTTGTGCATCAGCTGTGCCTCAATCAAGATATGAAATACTCACAGAGTTTGATGCATGCTGATGCATGAATCAATTGTGTAGTTAAATGTACTTTCCATTGTTCAGTCATTTTTACAAGAAACAAACTAGCAATTGTTTGTTTGTGTTTCTTTTCAGCCATAGTTGAGTCATATGACACTTCCCCAACCTTGCAGGCTGATTGGCCTGCAATTCAATGCAACTCTAATTGTAAAATGCATCTCCTCCTCTTTCATATACTTCATCTTTCTCCTCCCACTTGTCTTCCTACCAGTTTTGCTTGGCCTATTTTCACTAAAAATTAATGGTTCAGAGTGTCAGTAATGTTGAAAATGAGTATGTTAGGCCATGGTGCATTTTAAAGCTAAGTTCGGGATATGGAGGTGTAGCTTACTGGCCTCAAAGGGGGCTATTAAATTTGGATATATCAGCATCAAGGTGTTCTATGCAATTAGCCTCAGAAAGTTGGCATTAAATGTCTTGATACTGACTTAAGTATGTGGACTCTTCCCTTTTTCATAGTTGCAGTTGAAAATAATTGACAAATTCTATTTACATTAGACTGTTGAATTTTGCCCAAACATTGTAAGAGTGGATTTTGGAGCCCCTGGGGCGATAGCCAGGGCCACGACAGAGATGCATTACCCGCCCCCCCTCCCCCCGGCCACGCTCTTTTTTCTCTTTCCATACCCCATTCACCCGCAAGACAGGCTTGCGTGTCTGAACCTCAGACGTGACGTCACTTGATCAAAAAAATGGCGCTGAAAGCTATGGTCGTCCAGCTGCTTGTTGCTCTTGTGACAGTAAACTTTGCGATGTCGACCAGAATTGCAGGTTTTAGCCCAACAAACTCGGGGTCCCACTATTTCACCATAAAGAAAGTTATGGAGGAATTGTCCGCGCGCGGACACGAGGTAAGGTCAAAGAGCAGCCTGCAGGTTACAGGAGTATTGATCGACATAGCCATCGTTGACTG